ATCTCAGGAAATAGCGGCTCCGGTCTAGAAAACCGAAATTAAAGGCCATGGGGATTCGTTGCGCTGACCGGGCGATACCCTCTATCCGCAAAAGTTGGCACTAAACTTCGTCGACAAGCGGCGGTCGCTCGGTCGGCATAGTTCGCTTGCGGACTAAAATTACGGAGTTTTTTTTATACTTCTTGCCGGACTTCCCATATACTACGAGTAATATAAAGAAAGTAAGCCTCATAAATCTTCCAAAAACTTCCTGTTTCGTTGAAACGATGTACAGTTAACAACCAGTGGAACTGCACATTATAATCTGGATGAAGTAGGTAACCCTTGAATGTAGCAGCGTTTATTTACCTATAGTGAAATACATTTCGCCCGTCACAGTGGCCGCTCAATCTAAGACCTAGCGCACACATGCAATTNCAGGCATGAAATTTTCGGCAGCTCAAAACACTGGAATCTTGGGTTCAAATCCAATTCGAGGCATGGATGTCTGTGTACGTTTATTCTGTGTTTATGCTATCCTGTGTGCAGATTGCGGCCTTGCGACGGGCTGATCCCCCGTCCAAGGAGTCCTACCGACTGTGTAAAGAGATCAAGAAACTTAAAAAAGCGGTCGAGGCCCAACAAAGGGCTGTAGAGCCGTACGTAGATATAAGTACTTTTCACTACGCAGGCTAAACATCAATTCTAATTGCATTCGACACAGACCTGTACATTCCGAGCTAAATTTTATAGAAAATTCGCAATTTTATGTAGTCTCATATTTGCAAGGGGAAATGATCGCTTACATGTCCCTTTCTAAAATCTGCCCTTTTGCAGAATATTCGAACATGTTACAATGAAGTAGAAAACAGAAATAATTTACATTAACTATTTCAAATAATGTAATATTCTTTAGTGTTGATCATTTAGGGAATATTTTATTACTAAACATATTATTGATTTATGTTAATTGCTGCGTCTTAGTACTGAATTCAGATAAATATTTTTCCTTACTTTTGAAGGCAAGATTACGCCATGACTAATCTGAGGAAGCTTAGTCCAATCCACATTACTATAATCTGATTCTCAGAATTCAATGCCATTCTACCTTTCGGGTTTTCTAAATTTGTGTCTGTCTACGCATAGTTATTAATATGGCACAACACGGAGGATTTAATTAGTTTTAAACATGGCGCATACAATGAGACACACAGACAATACACTACGGCTTCTTCTTGTCCAGAAATTTGCGTCTTTTACGCGATGGACACTCGCGTTTGTACTATGACTTCGATATCTGACGAACTCTCGTTAAGTTATAAATTATGTGCTTTTAATGACATATAGGTAATTAGGCTGGTAAAGTACAGATATTACCACTTCTTATCCGATAAAGATGAAAGAAAAAGAGTAAGTAATGGCCGCGCCATAGCTCAAGCGGTTAGTGGCTGGCTTCCTACCGCGGCGGCCCGGGTTCGATCCCAGGTCTGGGCAAGTGGGATTTGTGGTGGACAAAGTGGCGCTGGGGCGGGTTTTCTCCGAGTACTTCGGTTTCCCCTGCCAATCTTCATTCTACCAAATTCTCCATCATCAATTGTGTCGCTTCTGTCTAATTTGCACCAGTCAGCCACTTAAAGAATTTTGCACCTGATTTGTTTTGCTGCTGAATCTATGAAAGAACAGGTTTTGAGCAATTCAGGTATTCCAGACCCCACGTAACATTCTTCATGTGAGGGAAGCAGACGAGCGCTTTGCCTAAGCATTATTGCTGGAAATATTTTGTCACACGTGGTTGTGCGGGTCGAGAAAGTACAGGTTCCGGTTGAGGCATATGTGAAATTTATTTCAAGTTCTTACCTTGATGAATTCTGGAGTGAGTTGTTCGCCAGTCAAGATGTTAACTTTCTTCAGATTAAACTCAATGCCCAGCCTTTTCGCCAGCAACAGGACGGAACGACAGGGCGGGCTGGGGGGCAGGTAATAAAAGTCCATCGGCATTTTCGCCTTCTTTTCGTTGGCTCTGCAAATCAGTTAGCGTAAATCAAGACTCCAACAAACGCTATTATTCTGCTCCAGAGTGCTGTACTGGGCAACTTTGTGTCTATTCCAAATTACGTACTTACTTTGGGAACGTAATCAGTGGCAATACATTTGAAAATGCACACTGTACATCACTGGATATTGCATTTGGTATAGCGATTGGCTAGGTGCTGGACGACCGAGGGGTCGCAGTTCGAGTCCCTGTAGGGTTAAGAATTTTCTCTTCTCTGTGTAGTCCAGACCGGATCTGGGTTCCACCCAACATCCTATCCAGTGAGTACTGGGGGTTTTCTCCCGGGGGTAAAGCGGCCTTGGCGTCAAGCTGACCATTCACCTCCAGCTAGTGCCGAAGTCAAGAGAATGTGGATCTATAGCTCCACTCCCCCATACGCCTTCATGACGTAGTGCTTAATTTGTTAAGCACAGGTACAGCTTTATAACTTACAACGCTTTTGTGTCTGAGATTGCAATGCCGTTAATTAGACTTGATAATTTCTACTACAACTGTTCATTTGTTCTAGTGAGATTTTGTGGGACACTTGTCCGTTACTGGAAGTATATTTGATATAGAAGAGGTTACGGTTGTGTCATGTCCTTCTGTCTTAAGACATTCGGACCGTTTAATGGTTAGCCTAATGTTCAGAGTTCAGCCATATCCGTCGTCACTAATTAAATTAATCGAATACACTGACAGGCAAATACAGTTGGTAGCAAACTGAGGTGCATTGGACAGGCGTGACGATTTCGAAGGATTGGTGGGGTCCACAAATAAACGCTCTTTCGCAATTCCTAGGACTTCTAGAAAGAATTTCAGCGAATTCAAGAATTTAAACCCACTGAGGTAATTGTTCGGCCTGTATTCGTTCGCGAATAGAAGCAAACGTCTTGTGAAAAATTCTTTCTATTTTTAATTTTGTCTCTCTGTCAGTATACTTCTCTTACGGACTAAAACAACGGAGTTTGTTTATATTTTTGTTTGATAGCCATTTGAAGAGTTAACTGTGAATTTCGTAGAGCTTACTTATAAATCTTCAAAGAAATTCTTCTGACGTTCAGGTTTAGCTATTGGCGGACGGATTATTCGGAATTAAAATCTGCTGAAACTCCCACTTAAATATATGTTCGGATCAAGTAGATGACGTGAATTAAGAAAGTAAAATGGATTTGCTTATTTCGAATCTCATCCTTAGGGCCTAACTGATCTTGACAGATAAAACACCTTTAAATAGCAGTTTAGACTTCAAGTCAAGGTTTTACAGAAAATGTGTAATGCAATATGCAGCAGGCCGGTGTTGTTCGGAGTATTTACTAAGACATTAACATATTTTAAAGGAAGACATGGAAGTTTCGTTGTTGCTAAGATCAGTGCAAAGAAGGAATATTGGAAAGGATACGAGTAAATATACACATAGTGCGAATTATGAGGGGAAGGAACTGCATAAGTTGTCAGTATCTGGTCGCGGTTTATCGTATGAAGAGCTGTAACCGAGAAAGAATATAAACATCTTTAAATTGTGCTCAGTAAACAGAAAGTTTTGCAAAACTGCCTGTACTCTAAACCAGTAAGGAAACGAATAATACATCTCTACTTTCCCCAAGAGAAGCAGTGAAATTTCAATACAGTTTCAGCGTAAACATCGGTTTCATCAGAGCACATGCTCTTTCTCCAGTCTTGAATGCTCGCCAGAGCAGTGAGTTACAAACACTCGTTATCTTAGGATTATTTGTGAATCGGGCCTTATCCTTGTATGCAGAAATATGTAAAGATTTTGGGCGAAATTAAGGCGCCTAGGCCCAAGGTTCATGCGAACAGGGTATCAAACAAAATACAAAACTCCGTGGTTTTAATCCGGAAGCGAATTATACCGACCGGGCGACCGCCGCTTGTCGGCGAAGTTAGTGGCCTCTGTGGTCTAGTGGTCAGAGTTTCTGGCTACAGATCCAGGGATCCCGGGTTCGATTTCCGGCGCTACCAAATTTTCTGAGTAATATTGGGTCTGGAACGGGGTCCTCTCAGCCTCGTGAGGATAATTGAGGAGTTATTTCAAGGATATAGCGGCTCCGGTCTAGAGAACCGAAATTAACGGCCGTGGGGATTCGTTGCGCTGACTATGCGACACTCTCTATCTGCAAAAGTTGGCAAAGTTGGAGAACAAGGTATCAGGACCTACAAATTCATTATTAAACTACGCACAATGAAGTCCATAAAGAAAACTATCTTCTTGGATAAAACACCGCTATTTCTCAGAAGACCGAATACTTCATAGCTACCGCCGTGATAAATTCAAATCCGATACTGACGTCTGCAGTTTACTCTAGTAGAAATTACGACTACGTTAAATTTCAGCGATATAAAAACAAAGTTTTTGCCGTTTCAGTAGTGTAGCTCTTGTCTAGCACAGGAACAATGTTTCGTCTAGAATGGGTAGGTATGTGTACAATCTGTTATCTAACAAAATTTCACATATCTTGCTACAGTAGTTCATTAGTAACTGTTGTCAGAGTGAAACACGTGAGGTAGATATGATGATCTTCCACTTTTAGAGAAAACTGCCTTACTAAATATTAAACATTTTTCGAAGCTTTCTTATACAGAAAATTCCAATGCTGTATATTTAGTGTGTTATTGTCCCTCCATTTCGAAATTGCACGTGAATGTTGTGTTTCGATTCGTGTCCTGCTTATATGCCGTGTTGTTTTGTTGTTTTGCTTCGTTGTGGGATTGGTTTTGCATTATTCTTTATATAATCCACAGTACAATAATTTCTCTATTACATAGCAAGGTCGTTACGTACAATTTTATAATTTCTTTTAAGGTGATTTAGAAAGATTCTTCAGCGAAATTCAATAGCATTTTTAATTTCGCTTTGAGAACTATGCAAAGACACAAACACATATGTATCACTTAAAATATGTACAGAAATATATTTAATTCGGTGTATGGGGTGACTTTAGGAATGTAGTTCTCCACTTACTCGACAACCGGTGCAGCAGCGGCCGCGACGCTGTCAATACACTGCCCCAGGGTGAACTGAAACAACTTGAAGTTAAATTCAGCGAGTTAAATAAAATAATATTTTTGTCTCTGGCCCTCCCAAATACTGTGGGAACGCCAACACATGCACGATTACTACTTCTCTGCACGCTGATATATTTTTATCGGCGTATGTAGCTCACTGTAAGACGACTGAATTTGGCGTAGCAGCAGACGGTTCAGTTCAAACTCGGCCAGTTATTGGTCAGGAAGGTGTTGTGACGTAGCAGGTTGCCATGGAAGTGGAGTCACACGAATACAAAAGAAACTTCTTTAATAAAGTAGAGAAACATTTCCCTCACTCACAGTACGCATGTACAGAATTTCGGACATACGTGTACGAGGGAATGCAAAGTAGAAAGCTTTAGCCACAATCGTGGGCTAAGTACTAAGCAGCAGGGACTTTAACAAGCATAGCAAGAGGCTGAGGTCTTTGCAATCAGATGCGAAAGCAAATTGTAATACAAGAAGAAGAGTAAAAATAAACTGAAGTGGTAGGATGATAGGAAACCTAAGACCACTTTCTTTTCTAAGCCGTCCACGTCTAGAAACCCTTTATCAATCACTTAAATATTTTGCTTATATTGTTACACGGATATTTATTGACTTTTAAAATAATCGATAGTGAATTTATTATATATACAAGAGCCCGAAAATTCCATACGACTGGCGACTTTGATAGCTTCTGCTACGGAGAAATCAATAAAATGCCCAAGACTTATATTCATCTTTCTATCTGAAGAATTCTCATAGGTCAGGCAAATAGCCCCTTACTTCACGGAATTTATAAGTTCATTTTTTTTTGGCTCCCCAGCCGGAAAATACGTTTCCACCTACATGTGGGAGACATTGCACACAGATAGTTAACAAACTTAGCCAAATTTCATATCTGTATAATTTCACCTACCTTATATTTATATTGCTTGAAAATTGATAGATGTTATATAAGAGTCTCGCGCTGTCAATATGCTTGAAATACTTAACGACTAAAGTTTGTTTAATAAAGTTCTTAATTACGTACATTCATGGTCTATCGTGATATTGAAGTTCTACGGAATACAATTGTTATTGAGTTGTATAAAATATAAACATTAATAGACAATTTGTGCGATTTCCATGTTATTAATTTATATTCTTCACAGATGTGTTCTTCATAACCGGACATTGTCTTTTTGTATCCTGTTGTGCATTGAATGACGCTTGCCTTGCTGTCATCTGTGCAAGAAATTGATCGCACTGAATTTAAAAATTAAAAATATGATCACGTGATACAAAGTTAAAAAGACCGTCTCTGTGGGCTGGTGGTCAGAGTTCCTGGATACAAATCCAGAGGTCCGGGTTCGATTCCCGGCGCTACAAGATTTTCTGAGAAGTAGTAGGTCTGGAATGGGGTCCGGTCAGCCTCGTGAGAATAATTGAGGAGCTACTTGAATGGAAAAGTGGAGGCTCCGGTCTAGAAATACGAGATTAACGGCCGTGGGGATCCTTTGAGCTGACCACGTGTCACTCTTTATCCACAAAAGTTGGTACTAACTTCGAGGACAAACGGCGGTCGCCCGGTCGGTATAGTTCGCTTGCGCACTATAGGCCACGGCGTTTGTTTGTTTTTGTTGATACAAAGTTAAATATTATTTTAATTAAAATGTGTTGACTCGGATTTTACTATTGGAGACGTATACGCATGATGGCATAATACACGTCATTTATCTCTTGAAATGAATATGTAGGGATAAAATACAACTAAATCTGGTTTATTATAACATCCTGATATTGGTTATTAAGCCTTAGGACATCGTACATCGTATTATTGCGCTTAGAGAAATAATTCAATGGTTACATCACAACATTTAAAGGAAGGTGACATATATTTGTAAGGTGCGCGCTTGGGACATATTTCCACTGGTCGTTCATGAGGCAACTACACGTATATACTCGATGAGCAAACAAAAATTTAAAATTAGGATCACGTGATGAAATTTTATTGCAGGTTTAATTAAAATCAATATATTGCTTCAAGTTTTAATAGTGGGGACACACAAGTACATGATGCTAGTTTAAACACATTTTTTCTTTTTAAGAGAATAAGCAAGAACAAAATAGAAGTAAATTTATTTGAGTACGAAACCCTAATATTAGTTATCAAGTATTTATAACATCGAATATCGCATTACTGGGCCTGCAGAAACATTTCAGTGGTTACACGAATAGGTGTACTCGTACGATGCCTGCTGGGCATATCGTTCCTTAACCATCTGTGAGGCAGCTACGAATATGTACTCGATGTACAAGTCTCCACAGCTTCCACAAGATTAAGTTCCTCTGTTCAAAGGAAAAGGAGTACAACCCCACACTTGAGAGCACAATCATACAAAAATCCATAACAAAAATTAACCGTTCTAAGCGCAAGTATTTCTAATACAATGACTCCATGTCACATATGGCTTCATCTGACCTCTTTTCTGCTAAATGCTGTAGAAAAATGAAAATTTCTCACTATTTTGCAATTTGGCCGGGGGAATATGTTATTTTTTTTATTTATTTATTAAGCAATCAGGATCTACAATTCTATAATCCAATTTGCTGGCGTAAGTGCTGTGATGCTCTTTAATGACGTGATGAGACCCTTCCCCAGTTGGGAGGTTCCTCTTAGTTTTCTTTTAGGTCAGCTGGCCAGTGTCTTCGGAGTCTTCGATTGTGCTGCGGTTCAACGAGTGGCTGTAGTATGTCGTTTGGGTGATTTGCTAGTTTGTTGTGGTGTGAGGTACTTTTTTCTCTGATGATGTCTTTAATGTATGGTATATTTAGATCTGTATGTAACGTTTGGTTATTTACATACCAGGGTGTATTTGTTATAATTCCAAGTATTTTAGACTGGCTTCTCTGGATTATTGATATATTTGATTTGCTGGCACAACCCCAGAGCTCAGTTCCGCAAGCCCAGATTGATTTGATTAAATATGCTAATGACACTTTGTAATTTAAAATATAGATATAGGACTTGCAGTCGGAAAGTTCCAATACCGTTATTGTTGTAACTGCGTCGGTGAAAGAAGATGTGACCAGAGGCCAAGGTCACAGTTTCGCCAGCCCATTGCATCAGTCTGCCAGGTGACACTGCGCTGTGGCCAAGCATTGTTTTTACAAGGGTGCTTTTTCGAATTCGTAATTTGTTTTACCTGCGATGGATGGCAAAATAGAGCAAATTGTCTGCATCAAATTTTGCGTGAAGCTCGGTAAATCCGCTACCGAAACCGTTGAAGTGCTTCGTGAGACTTTTGGAGTACATTCTTTAAGCCGGACAGCAGTTTATTAATGGTATTCAATAAATGATATAACCTCCGTCTCAAGTGCAAACAATATATTCTTGTGTCTTTGATCTTGCTCCCTACACTACATGTTTCGGCCTCAGACGGCCATCATCAGGTGTATAACACTCACGTCGCTGTCACACTGCACCCAGTTCAAAATTTAACATCTAAAACACTCTCCCTGTCATTATCAACTTCTACTTCGTTGATAGCTGTCCACCCGTAGATTACTTCACACACGTTAATTTTGAGTTTATTGTAATAGCACCATAATAAAATCTTTAGTTCTAATTTTAAACTTTTAAATCCTTGTCCAAATTTTAAAAATTCTTGTCCAAATTTTAAAATTTTAAAATTGTTAGGGTTATTCGCCCTGTGTTTGAAGTGCTGCAGCGGCTAGTTCTTGTTTCCACACTGTATAGGTGTTATCCTGTGTGGTCTTTCTGTGTGCGTGCCGCTGCTATTCTTTACTACGTGTCACGTAGTAGATGGCCGTCTGAGGCCGAAACATGTAGTGTAGGGAGCAAGATCAAAGACACAAGAATATATTGTTTGCACTTGAGACGGAGGTTATATCATTTATCGTATGGAGTGCAACAGGATGCTTAAATATAATATTGTAAAAATGGTATTCACTTTTCAAGGCCGATCGATTTTCAGTTGAAGATGACGAACGTTCAGGGCGACCAAGCATCAACAAAACGACAGAAAATATTGAAAAATTTCGAAAACTTATACACGAAGACCGTCTCCGAAAAATCCATAAGTTCGCAAACACCGTTGGGATCAGTTATGAAGTTCTCCAGGAGATCTTAACGGAAAATTTGAACATGCGCCACATTACCGCGAAGTTTGTTCCCGACTCTTGACAAATCATCAAAAGCAGCGGCGCTTAAACCTGTGTCTTGAGCTACGAGAGAAGGCTAACGAGGACCCAACGTTTACGAGTATCTCCAGGATCATAACGGGTGACGAAAGTTGGATTTATGGTTATGATCCAGAAACAAAATAACAATCGTCGCAGTGGAAGAGCTCACAATCACCAAGAGCAAAAAAGGCGCAGCAGGTCCTGAGTTCAACAAGGAACATGCTCATTGTTTTCTTCAATGTGAAGGAGATTGTTCACCATGAATTTCTTCCTCCTAACACAACGGTCAACTCTGACTTTTACTGTGAGATTTTGAGGCGCTTGAGAGAAAATTTGCGAACCCACAACTGCGCCACCCTCATGTCCCTGAAAACCACAGAGTTTGTGACTAACAACAGCATGATTATCGTTCCCCATCCTCCCTGCTTATTACTCCAAAGTAATAAAAAGTCTGGAAGGTTTGTAATATACAGTCACAACTCAAAAAAAAAGATGACCTTGGAAAGGGCAGAACATGAGAAATTGACAGATGTTCATAAGGCACACACGTGGCGACCGCCATTCAATTGGCGCCTAGTTGTGAATATTTTAAACTCGGCTGAACGATTTGTTCCGTTTACGCAATAATCGAAACGTTCAATAAAAATGTAGAATTTGTATTGGAGGAATTTGTCTCAACAGCCAGAAAACTTTATCGTTAACACAATATGGCTCCATTTTGCTCTATTTCTTTACTTGGGTTATGTTACTAATATCTTATGCTATGGAGAAAAGTCCTCAAAAAGAGCCAGTAGTCCCTTAGATAGACAATAAATTATCTCCTTGCATGAAAACGGACAATTCGTTACCGGGTGTCGGTTTTAGACCAAAATCAGATAAGAAAATGGTCCTTTACAATAACTGAAAATCACATCGTGCCATTCGTTTCTCAAGCTACGAGTATGAAGCAAGAACAAATACTCTTTTGGGGTTCCGTCTCAGTCATAATTCTTTATGTTTCTTCAGGCTTATTTAGGTCTA